CACTCCCACTTTAATTTTGACCCCTTTACTACTATTCCTGCTTGCATTTTCATATACCAAATTCTCTATTATTGCTCTTGTTAAGCTTTCATCCAATATCTTACCTTTACTTTCCAGTAACTATGTGATGTTCAAAGCCTTTTTTTATATTTTTGGGTTTCGCACCTGATGCCGGTATTTGAATTCAAACGTTCCACTTTGAGGGTAAAATATTTCCTTCCAAAAGTATATATGTTACTTGAACTAGAAACATCTGGTTAAAAAAGAACTGAGTACTTACCATTCCATCAAAATCTCTGGTGATAGCACCTCCCCTTCTACTAGTACCTTCAAAGCATTTACATCTACCTTTGTTTCCTTGTAACTAAGAAATCTAGTGAAGAATTAATTGATTAATCAGATATGGAATTCTTATCTATTTTTGTGGAAAGGGTAACAGATTGCTTGATCCATCCAGTTGCGCGAGGGATCGGGTATTTCTTTTACTACAAGAGCAACATCAGATTTATGGAAAATGAGTATAAGAAGCTGGAGGATATCAGAATTGGGGTGCATCAAAGAGCGGAAGCTGACCGGAGAAACCTACAAGTCATTTCACCCAATGTTGAGGCTTGGTTTACTAGTGTTGATACTACTACTGCAGATGTGGCAGCTGTAATGCGACGAGGTAGAATTGAGGTTGAAAGATATGGTTGGTGTCCGAACTTAAAGTCACGTTACTCCCTCAGCAGGAGAGCTAAGAAAATTGCACTGGAGTTGATTGAACTTCGAAATGAAGGCAATGATTATGCTGTTTTCTCCTATCCTGCTGTCCAAATTGAAGTTATGCCTAGTAACAGTGCTGAGGAGTTTGACTCCAGAAAAATGCAAGAGGATGAGGTCATTGCAGCTTTGAAAGATGATGGGGTCACTATGATTGGGATATGTGGTATGGGTGGTGTTGGTAAAACAACACTCGCTGAGAAAATCAGACAAAAGGCTAAAGAAGAAAGGATGTTCAAAGATGTCGTCATGGTAACTGTCAGTCAACAACCAGACTTACAAAGAATTCAAAGTGAGGTCGCAGGAGGAGTCGGTCTGACGTTGGAAGGGGACAATTTCAGGGATCGTGGCGATCAGCTGCGTTCAAGGTTAGTGGATCATAACAGCCACGTCCTAGTAATCTTGGATGATGTTTGGGAGGCTCTTCATGATCTAGAGAAACTTGGAATTCCAAGTGGAAGCAACCACAAACATCGGTGCAAAGTGATATTGACAACGCGTTACCGAAATGTTTGTGAAGCAATGGAAGCTCAGAAGATCATGGAAGTTGGAACATTATCTGAAGAGGAAGCATGGTGCCTTTTCAAGCAGAAAGCTGGTGATTCAGTTGATGTTCCTTCTATTCATGACACAGCAAAAGAGGTTGCCAAAGAATGCAAGGGGTTGCCGCTTGCAATTATTACAGTTGCAGGAGCACTAAAGGGTAAAGACGAGCCTTTGTGGAAGGATGCCCTTAAGCAATTACGTGATGCAGATACAAGAAATATCCCTGGAGTGCACACTAAGGTGTATAAACCTCTGAGGCTAAGCTATGATTACTTGGAAATTGATGAAGCCAGGTACCTCTTTTTGCTTTGTTCTTTGTTCAAGGAAGATAGTAATATTTGGACTGGAGATTTGCTTACATATGGAATGGGGCTTCGCATCTTTTCGAAAATTAAAAATATAGATAAGCAAGAGATAGGGTGTGTAATCTATTAGAAACATTGAAAGATAGTTTCTTATTATCCCAAGGTTCATACAAAAATCATGTCAAAATGCATGATGTGATCCGTGACGTGGCTATAAATATTGCATCTGAGGGAGATCATAACTTTATGGTAAGTCATGATGTGAACTCGGAAGAGTTCCCAAGAATAGACTTTAACAAGCAGCAATACAGTCACATGTCAATTATTGCAAATAAATTTGATGAGCCTTGTAGCCCAATAGTTTGCCCAGAACTGAAGCTTCTAATGTTGGAACTCTGTTTTGAAGAGCCATTCAAGTTACATGATGATTTTTTTGATGGAATGAGTAAACTCAATGTCTTAAGGCTGGGGCGATACAGATATAAGGAGTCCATTCTGTCTTTTCCAACATCCATTCAGAGGTTGTCAAGTCTGAGGATATTGTATCTGAGTAAATTAAAGTTGTATGACATATCCATTATTGGCAAACTTGTCAATTTGGAAATTCTTTGCATAAGAGATTCTCAATTAGAGGAGGTGCCAGTGGAGATTGGAAATTTGGCCAATCTAATTATGTTAGAGTTGATGATTGAGGGGGGTACAACACTTACAAGGATTTCAGAAGGGGTCTTATCAAGACTAGTTCGATTGGAGGAACTTCATATGGTGCGAGTAGAAGATTGTTGTTACTCCACCCTGAGGGAACTGGAATCTTTATCGAAATTAACTGCACTGACATTAAGTAAATGTTCCATAGATGTGATCTACAGTAACTTGCGCCTTCCCTCCAGGTTGACACGGTACACTCTTAAAGTGGGTTATGCTTACACAATGACCATGGGTGATTACGGAAAGAATATTGAGTTAAAGGTCACAGAGACCGCCCCATTAGGTGATTGGATCTGCCGCCTGTTGAAGGAATGCGAAGTTGTACATTCAGTGGGAAAAGGCTCTAATAACGTGTTGGCCGAATTGCAGCTGAATGAGCTTCAGAATGTGAAAGTTCTCGGCCTCGCTAATTGTGATTTAGTGACACATTTATTGAAGATCTGTAGGAGGACACATGAAGTAATCAAGTTCCCCAATTTAAATGAGTTAGACCTTGTATCTCTGTAATGCCTGACTCACATTTGCAATGACAATGTTGAGGGCATTGAGTTCCCTCTGTTGAGGAGAATGAGCTTCGATGGGTTACCTGAGTTCCAAAATTTCTCCCCTACCACCAACAACTCCATCACCGACTCAAATCCTCTTTTCAATGAAAAGGTTTGCTTTTTATCATGACAAAAAAGGACTCGTTTTAAATATGAAACAAACTTACTTTTTCACTTTTTATTTTGAGGGTTTTTATGAAGGGAAAAGGCTCAAATATGCCATCGAACTTTCAGAAAAGGCTCATTTATGTCATTCGTTAAAAGTTTGGCTCATCTATGCCATTACCGTTTAAAAAAAGGCTCATTCATGCCATTATTTTTTAACGGTGGTTTTACAAAACCATTTTTTACACGTGGCCAATTATAATTCGGCCACGTCATTATAATTTTTATAATAAAAAATTAAAATTCAAAAAAAA